ATCAGAATAACATCATGAATGTCCCTCACTTCATTACAAAATACTGTGTGTTTTTTATTTTCTAGTGGGTCACTATTAAATATTGGAATGGTGTTTTGGCAGGTCTTTGTTAGTGACAGGATAAGGACTGAAGAAAACAAAGAGAAAACTAAATATCAGAACCTGATCAAACCTCCATCAGAGGAAGAGAAGAAGAAAAAAACCTGTGAAACTGATAAAACATTATCTTTTAATTTGCCAGAATTTCAAACCCTTCAGTTTTAACCTTTCAAGGTTTTCTGCTGCATATACCTGTAACATGCTGTGCATTGCATCCGGCCACCTTTACCCCTGCGGTTCACCATTTGTCCCGTTTACTTGGCGACATCTACAATGAGGTCATATTTACAGGACACCAACCCTTGCTGTTCACAGCCCCCCTGAGCCAAAACAGATGTCTGTCAGTAAATGAGCGATGGCTCTTTCTTTTTTTCACTCTTTCCTGTTGCCTGATGAAGGATGAAGTATCAACACTGTTACCTGGACACCCCAGCATCAAGGAGTGTAACTGAATACTACACGCTGAGTGCAACATGGAATAAGACCTAAGGGTTCCCCTGCTTCTTCCTTTTCTCAGTGTGTTTTTTTCCTTTTGAACCAATCAAATGTCTTTGCTGCGGGCCATTTTGTGTCCGTGTGTGGGAGGGGGTGTGGCTGATGTTCTTAATGATGACAGATGACAAACAAGAGGCTGAAGCTCTGATATGAAGAGGTGGAAACCTTAGATAAGAACAGGCAGGTGAGGTCGTAATCAGATAGTCTTCCATTAGCCGTGCTGACTCATTGGATGACACTGATTGAAACGGAGCCTCTAATGGCATGATAGATCCCCTCATACTGGGAGGGTGGGATGCAGCACGAGAGGTGCATGGCAGGGAAGTAAAAAGTCATGCTTCATCAACTCAAGTTGAAATGAAAAAAAGCTAATATTCATGCTTGATTAGGTTCCACTTGTAGCAAACTCAGTGTGTTTTTAAATGAAGTGCTCTCTGTCCAGTCCAGAAGCTGTGGGGGGGCGAAGTCGATCTGTCTCACAGGCTTCGACTTGGACCTGACTGTTCCCAAAGCAGCTCGGAATAATTAAGATCCAAAAAATAATGATTCTATTTGCCTGTCAGCTTAAGGTCATAAAAAATGTTTTTTTAGCACTAACAGCCATTTGGGATTATCTACCATTCAAACTACTTTAGGACAGCATGCTAGCCCGCTAACCCGCTGACTTCCTGATCTGCTTTTCATAGGTTCTCTAAAAAAAGATCGGAAATGTTCTAGTCATTACAACTCTAGGATGAATCAAATTCCATGCTTTTGAAATTTCAAATGTTAAAATGTCTTCTATGTCACAGTTCATGTATTTCAGTGTCATTTTGAAACAAGCCTGACATGTAGATAATTTGCCTTGATTGATACCGAGCCTTCACAATAAACTGTATATAAAGATGAACGACATGATTAATCCCGTAAAGTGAAGCCAAAATGACTTGATCACCCCCTGGTGGCTAGCTGCAGTGTAGGTCATAATTGCTCCTAAGTCACCAACATCTTTCATGTTAGTGGTTGACAAAATGAATAGTCAAAGCATACATTACATCTTTTTCAATACGGTTTCTGTCATTTTAGGTTGTTCTTATCACACTGATATCTGTTCAAGCTCATGATTGACAGTTGAGCCCCACTCATGATTGGTCAAGTGCATGTATCCACTTGACATTGATTCTGAGGATAAATCCCCCGATAACTAGACTCCGGCTCCCAATGGGATAATTTGCACAAATTGGCAGCGTTTGTATTCACAATACTTTTGCTTAATTTCTGGAAACTGGGAGGAAGTAGAGACATGTGGTTCATCTATATGCACAATCTATCGATCTCGATCTGTATGGTAAATATAAAGCTACCCTTAGCAGCCAGCTATCTTAGCTTAGCATAAAGAGAGAAAATAATTTACTGACACGTTATTATAGATTTGTTTAACCTGCACACAGTTTATATCAGTCTACAATCTTAGTTTTTGTACAGATTAAATAGCTAAGATATAATATGTGTGCTAATGTTGGAGAGAGACAGCAGAGCTTCTTCCCCTTTTCCAGCTATGCTAAGCTAATGGGTTGTGAGCAGTAGCTGCATGTTTACCTCAGAGATTAGAACTGTTCTATCTCTCTTAGCTAGAAAGTGGACAGGCATGTGTCCCAAAAATGTCAAAACTCTTCCTAATAACTTGCTGAGGGAACAATTCACTGTTATGTAACCATCAAAGTTTCGTCAGCACTTTTATTTGTAGCCGTCCAGGATTCTTTTGTCGTATTGATTCTTCTTTACCTCATATATCAAACAGGGAATGCATTACAGAATCACGTTACTGCAACTCTTTAGGTTCTGCAACTCAAAAAAAACTCTTAGGTATCTTAATTTAGAAAAAGGGAAATTGTAGTAAAAATGACAAAAGAAAGAAATGCAACAAACAAAAGTAAAAGCAATAAAAATAAAAATCATGAAAATCATCAAGCCATCCTAGAAAGAGTGTTCCATATTTTGCACAGAACCATGCAAAGGGGCAGCAATGGTTCCTCAGTTCATCCGCTGATATGTGCCTGTGTGGCAGTGTGTACCAGCAGACCTCAAGCCATGCCGTTAACTGAAGACCACAGGAAGCTCTAATTAGTGGTGGCGAGAAAGGTAGACTACTATATACTGTATTTCACTGTTGTGTGCATGAGTTTGCAGCATTGAGCTAAAAGTGAACTTGTTCTCTGACAAACACTCATAACTATTCTCTCAGTCTGTCTCACTTTCGCTTTCTCTCTGAACACTTTTTGTTTCTCATGGTGTTAGTAGAAATAGTGTATATGTAATGGAGGCAATGCTATGCATTACATTAAGACATTTTCTTTCAATTTTTGGAGAGGAATGTATCTGAAAAAGGAATGCAATGCTGTATTCAGACTGTTAACATTGTAAAAAAGCTCTGAAATTAGTAATTAAATAACCCTCTACTATTTATACATTCAGGCACTGAAAAATCACATGTCAATATGTAACTAAAAAAGATAGTCGCTCTCATTTTTTCCTTGGTAAGAACAAGGAAGCTGTAACCTTGAAGTTGGCAATTGTGTAAATTTTTCCTACCCAGTAGTAATGCCATATGTGTCCCCTTTGCTCTTCTGTGTAGCAGTTTCCCATCCCCCCCAAGTGTATTTTCAAACACTGACGGGAAGTCAGAGCTTTCCCAGCCTCTCCTAAACTTCCACCCTAACCTTTGGGAAAGAATCCATGACACTTGTCTTTAGAAAGGGAAATCCAATGGTTTGTCTGGCTCCCCTAACCGGACAAACACATAGACGGACAGATGGGTGGACTGATGTCCTCCATGGCCTGGGAGGGCCAGCAGGCGAGCCGAGGCCCTCAGCTCCACAGACCAACTTCCCCCCTCATGGTTAAGGACTCTCCGGTGTGATAGCCAGCTCTCACCCCAGCGACCCTGAACTCAGTCATTTTTTAACTATACAAGGGCTTTTACAAAAAAGCTAACTTGAACAGCCATACAATGGCTAAAACATAAACCATATCTCTACTTTATCTCGGTTTTTCAGTCATTTTTTAATTTTTTTTCTCTTTTTCTGTTTTTGGATGCATTTGTGTTTTTACTTGGTTTAAGTCTTCATTTGCCGTTCTTTGTTCTTTTGGAGTAGCTCTGATCCAGTCCTGCGCTGAGAGGCCCAGTCACAGAGGAATTGGATTTTGGGTTTGATGTTGATTGCGGAGGAAGGCGCGAAGGGATAGGTGGGGATGGGTGAGAGGAATTGAGTAGGGTCAAAGATCTGGTCAGGTGTCAAGATTTGGGTTTCTTTATTCGTCCAGATATGGACTCTCCAGCGGTTACAGGGACGGCTTTAGATGGGACAGAATATGGTGACAAGTTGGTTTGGTAAAGAGGGGCTCAGAGGTGATTCGTCAAGGTTATCCACTATCTGAGGATGTGTGTGGTGCTGTGGAGGGCGAGCGCCTTCTGCGGGCGGTGGAAGTCCAGGATCTCTCTGAGCGTTCAGAGCGCTCGGAGGCTAGCGAGGCGGGCCGAAAGCGGTGAACAAAGCCGTCCAGGAAGTCCTGCTGCTGCTGGGTTATGGCTTGGGAGATGAGGCAGGGCAGCGCCTGCAGGCTGCCCGTCACCGAGTCCAGCTTGTCCTCCAATGTGCCGATGCGCTTGTCCAGCTCCTCACTACGCTCCTGCAGCTCTGACACCAGGTCGTACATCACATTCTGGGTCTAATGGAGGAGAGAAAGAAAATGTGCTTAGAGGACAACAAGACAAGAAAAGCAGTTTTACAACTTAATATCCACATGGAGAGATGCAAGGAATGGAATTAACCAAAGATACAGTATGCTCAGGAAACTTTCATGTAATAGTTCATTGTGGATTACATAAGCAGACATTTAAAATCTAACTTACTCAGCCTGAAGAGGAAGAAATAATGACAGGAAGCAGTGTGCAGGGGAGCAGTTTCAGCTAGTCAGCAAAGATTTTATCTTCCCACTGATTTAACAAGCAGCTTCTCCGGTCCATTTATAGCCAGAGAAGGTCTTCAGCGCTTAATGTATTTGCTTGACACAACTCATTCACGTAATGAAAAGTGTCTTTATTACTCAGGCATTTATTGTTCAAGCTGTAGATGCAGTGGGTTCGATGTTAATATATGTGCTACACTACTGTATATGCAATTCTTTGACAGTTTTATGTATTATAAAACACAATGTACTACATTCTATTCTATTCTATTCTTTTTGACGACATTGTGAGTTTAATGTGACAAGCATTTTAATGAGAGTACAGTTAAATGGAAGCCGCAAAACATTTTCATACCATCCTAAATTAAATGATTGTTATGTTTATAGGACAGAAATCAAAGGTTTACTTCTTTATAAGGCTCGAGAAAGTGGCATTGAACAAGTGAAGGGTGAACACAGATGGATCTGACCATCAAGCAGCGTAAGGGCAAGTAAACACACATTAAAGGAATTGGCCTTAGAACCTTTTAAAATACACACTGGAGTGCAAATGTCACCCACATCAAATGAGATTGCGGTCATGCACGTCCCTTTGAACCCCCCCCCGCTCCGAGCTGGTGGGTCATCTGACGTCCATACAGCCGGACACAAGCTGCTGAGCCATGAGTGTATTCACACGTCTACATAGCCACATACTGTTTACAATGCATATACTGTATGTTAGGTCAAGTTACTCAGAGTGAACGGGGTAGTCTTGCAGGACTTGAGCTTAGCTGAGTTAGCTTAGACATGACTGTCAGTCTATGGATGCATTTGGTATGAAAAAGCATGAGCTGGTTTCAAACATACACTCAACTCCAAACATTTTCTTGAAATATTCCGTAGAGGTTCCGTATGTAAGAAAGCAAATGTCTTAACCATTTGCTACAGATATTTTTCATTACATTTCCTGCACAGTTAACTGGTTCAATGTTAAAAAAAAAAATTGGGAGTGAGCCCATATGAGAATAGATCAGGAAAATGTTTTGTAAAAAATCACGGCTAGCGAGGGAGCAATTTGATGATGTTTTTAACATGAAATGGATCCTTAATTGAAGGAAAACAAATATCTCAGTATGAAAAAGAGAAGACAAATACAAAGAAGACACCAACAAAAATGTCAATTTGTCAAGAAAAAGAGATTCGAAAGCTTTTGGTTATAAAAACCAACATTGGTGTCGATGAGCTGTAAACATGTGATTTTCACAGTGGAAGTTATACAACACCTTGACATAACCCTTTGAGTGTTCTGAGCATTTTGCCATCTGGCCCAGACAATTTCCTGCCATGTTCATCACCAACACAGTCTGAGACACTATGGAACACTTCAAGTATTCTAGAAATCTTCTATAATGATGTATATTTTCACTGACATTTGACATACCCGAAACCTTAAAGATCATATTTACATAAGCACTCTGATTTGGCAACTTCAACGGTATGGCCACTTGATACAGATACATGTGATACACAGTGGTGCCAATACTTTTATGTTGGTAACTGTAACTTGCCAAGAAATGCAGTAATGTGATAAAAGTGAGGAAGAAGAGAGCAATATGAATGCAGGTCTCAAATACTTTCAAATACCTTTGAAAATTTTTAATGGGGAAGTAAAAGGACAAATTAGGTCTCAAAGAAGGAAAACAGTGAATATAAAATGGACTAAAGTGATACTTTAGTTACAGGTTGAGCTTCAAAGAAAATAGAAAGTCTTGCCTAAAGGAACCGACATTTAAACACACATCCCTGGTCTGTGTTTGGGATGGAAAGAAAGCTGGACCACAAACACCACAACACTGTTCCAAGGGTATTCGTGCTCATGCACAGGATGGGAACTAACTCCACTGTTACGTCTTAATTTTGCTTACATTTGTTTACAGGACAATTTCATAATATACATCTGATTATACGTGACACCAACGTGACACCAATTACACCTGCTAAAGACACAGATTTCAGTCATTCAGACAGATATAATGGTATGTTGAATTCTTTGCGGTGAGACAGACTTACCTTTGCCAGGTCCACCAAGGTGTTGGCCTGATCATTGAGTTTCCTCTGCTCCATCTTTACACTGCGCAGTCTGACAAAGGCAAAAGGAGGAGGGGGAAGGAGGAAATAGATTGAGAGGGAGGAGGCAAGGAAGAGCGGAATAAGGTGAAGGGGGGGTGGAGGAGAGGAGAGGAGCATAGAGAGAGAGAGAGAAGTTGTTTGGGGTTATGAGGGGACAGAGGAGGCCGACAGGGAAGAAAGGAGGAGGAAGAACGACATATTGTTTATCAGGAGTGCTCTCTCACTGATGACATGGTGAAGAGACAGCCTGCATGCATCATAAATGTATGCAATTTACATATCTATATGTATATACATAATGAGTATATATGTATATATATATAGAGGCATTCATGGTCTCCGTCAATGCAATAAAAACCAAAACATGCAAAATTGTGGAAGCATACTACACTCAAAAAAAAGATTCAATTTATGAGTCTTTTTATGACAAGATCTTTTCCTGATAACGGTGCGAGGCTTTCAGCAGCAATTACTTTTCACTGCAGCCTTGATACAAAGAGATTATCTTGTTACAACCTAAAAAGAATCTGTTTTTAAATAGGAGGAACAAAGTCTCGATATAATGCCAAAAAAACTACAAATTCCAATGAAAAAACATGTTTTCTTTTTCCAGCAAGAACGTAAAATGCTTCCACAGAAGAAAACCTCAAAATTCATGTTTAAAATTAAAACATTCGCATGTCGTTCCACCCAAAAGTAAGACATTAAAAAATGGAAAAAAGATGACATGCCCTTTGTCGGTGCTGCACACAGCTCAGTGGTGGGACTTTATATAAATACACACCGGTCATTCAGTAAGCGTGCAGTGACTGTGAGTGACTGTGCACAATGAAATGTGTCTTTGAGTGCTGCCCTTTGTGTGTGAGTGTGTGTGTGTGTGTGTGTGTGCTTGCGTGTGTTTGTGTGTTCTAATGCAGCAGATAAAAGATGAAGCTTGCCAGAAATAAACCGTCTAATGACACCGTTGAACACACTGCAACATAGACATCTCATATAACTTGCGCAATGACACATTGGAAGTATTTTTACGATGCCTCAACATTGTGCCTCCTTATCTCTAATCAAATACATTATGGCGCCGTATGAACTGCTAACGCTGAATGTGAGTAATGTGGCATTGTTTAGCGGCGGCATCACACAGCCGTCATCTGGGTGGGTGAGAGGAAGAATTTCCCTGTTTGGCAAATTATGAGACAGGATGACATTCAAGGGCATTTATTCATGTGCAAATCAGTATATCAGAGCAGAGTGAGACAGCTCGCTTATGGCTCCATCGCTGTGGGAAACCGTCTCAGCTGTGTGTGTGTGTTTGTTCGGCCTCCCTTATCCCTTATAACTGTCGAGGAATTGGGGCTAAAAGTTAAAAGTGCCACTTATTAGTGTAAAATATTATTTGTGTGATTTTAAACCTACAACCTAAATGTTTTGTGCTATGTCGTCAATGTCACGTGCAAGTTTTGGTGTTTGATCTCATGTAAGAAATGGAATATAAAGCAAAAATCAATATGAAAAGAACAGCAGACATTTCAACTCCAGTGGAACTACAGTACATTACAGTGTGTGTGTTCACATCATCACAAAGACCATCAGGAGTGCAGGATGAGTTCTGTTGATGGAGGTTAATATAGCCTCCAGAGCAGCTATATTAATCATGTGTACAGTACACTGTAGATGATCATGAACCGCTGGCCAGGCCAACAAAGCTTCAAGCTCATTCTGCGCAAGATGCTTTTTTTTTTTCCTTTCACACGTTCTCTCCAGACAACCCTCAACATCTACTGACACTGGTGGCAAAATGTTGATGCTTGTGTCTGTTTCATTCCGTTCGAGGGGGTATGGGAGGGAGAGGGGAGTAAATGGAACACTGAAGTAAAACAAAAGTTAAATAATAACTCAAAACAATCCAGCATCCAGAACTTTCTTTCTTTTCTTTTGTGGTAACATACGCTTTTTTTTTTTTTGTTCATGCATGTCAAACGCAGACATGGAGAGAGGAGGAGTAGGAGGATGTTGAGGAAACAGTAGGAGGAGGATACATAGAAGACTCAACTTACTTCTGAGCTCTGCGGTGATAGAGCAAAACAAAGACAGAACACAGTACAGAGTTTTAACCTCACAACATTCACGAAACGAGTGGAACCATTACACTTGTCACTGTAAGCACGGGGTCAGAGGGGGTCGGAGGGAGAGGGGGACGGGGAGGGGGGAGAGGGAGGACCATTACACTAGATCGAAGTGTGTGTGTGTGTATGTACATGTGTGATTGTGGGCATAACAATCAAAGAAATTGTAATCATGGAGTAGATTGTAACAAACACCAGAGGTGTTACTACCAAATACTTAGAGGTACTACAATATTTAATTCATTTAATAGAAACACAACTATTAACAACAGATCAAATAGTTCATCCCACAAATAACATGAAAGATTAAAGACTGTCACATGGGCTGAACATCTTAATACATGTTTTCAATAACATATTGTAGTTTGCGTTCTTTAAGAGAAATGCTCCTCGGTGGTTGCTGATGAACAACTCATTTTTCTGTCCGACGTTTATGTTACATCAGATTCACAGAGAAAGAAAACAAAAGCAGTGCAGGACTTACTGGTGAATGGCTTGGAGAAACTTGCGCTGGTGTTTCCGCACCTTGGCGTGATCTATCTTTTTGACCAACTTGGTGTGTTTGTAGATGAGCCATGTTTCCCTGAGTACATTGGCAGCTGTGTTCTTTACCTGTGAGGCAGGGTTGAAGACGAGATTAAATGCTAACACTGCAAAGACATTGTAAGGTCACATACGCTGTAACAATTCCATGCCATGAAACACAACAGGAAATGAATGACAATATTCACTCTAAAAAAGAAAGTGAGAAATGAAACAAAACAAAAAGGCAGTAAGAGTTGTAGATTATATATATTCCAGTCTACACACCTGTTATTAAAGTGTATAAAGTTGTGACAGAAGACCCTAAACTGAGGGAGAGTTAACAGTCCTGACAATATAATATAATAGTATTAATACAGGACATATAAATAATGATAAATGTAAATTTTTATCATTATAGGAGATTTTCAGGAATGACACCCTGTACAAAGTCAGCTCCCTAAATCAGGAGTCAGGAGCTCAAATAGGTCGAAAATAAGTCGAAGAAATTACAAGATAATTAACTGGATAACAGAGATAAGAGTCTGAAGAGTTTCAAACTAGGTTTTCTAATAAATCTTGCTTTTCTAAGCAGAAGATTTTAGCTCGGGACAGTTCAATCAATCAATCAATTTATTTATATAGCACCTTTCAAACAAATCAAATGGAATTCGAAGAGCATCACAGTTGATTGACAAAACATAGGATACTATCAAGAAAATAAGGTAAGATTATAAAATATACATAATCAACACTAAAAGTTTAGTAGAACCAACAGAGAAATGTAAATAATAACAATCAAATAAAATATAAGTAAAATATAAATATTTAACCACAAAATTATAAAAGCCAGACTAAAAAGGTGGGTTTTTAATTTATGTTGTATCAACATTTTCATCTCCTTTCAGATCATGTGAAAGTTACAGTGGATTTAGTTTTAGATTTTCTTTTTTATCTTGGGTTTCCTGTATAGCTCACTGTAGAGGTCTTGGTTTATTACACTTCTTTAGGTCTCTACTCAGACCCACCAACAAAGAAGGCTAATGTGGTTGAACTTATAACAACACGTAGAGTATCCATGTGCAGACAATTGTGACAGGACCTTGTAGTGATAAAAACTGTAGCATATCATTCCCTCAGAATGCAGGAACATGCAGTGACTCACTCGTTTGCAGAGTTGTGTGTCCATCATGAAGTTGTGGACGTGCTTCTCGGCCTTGGTCAGCTCCAGCTTCCTGGCTACAACTGCAACCACCAGCGCAGTGCAACCGGCTCCCTGTTGCACAAAGACGTGGTCAAACACACAGAAATATGTTGTGTGTGAGCCAGGAAGTGATTTTATGACAGAGTATTTATTTAAAGGGGAAAAGTATAATTTTAGGCTATTTGTCTTTTTAAAGGGAAATTTCAGAGGATCTGCCTTGTGCCTGTGGTATAATGGAGAACATGGTTAAATGTTATACTTCAGTAAAGTTATTACTAATAACAAATACTGAATATTTTGGCTCATCAGCAGCATATTATCATAAGTACTGGGGCTTATTGAGCAAGAAACTGTGTCTATTTGGAAGAGAGAACCACAGATTTGGAGGAAGTTGACTCTTTTGTGTGGGAGGAAATGTTTGGTCCTGGTCGACTGTAAAGTTATAGTTGTTACATCTGAGTAATATTCAAAAGGGCTTTGTAGCTTCTCAAAAACAATTTGAATGTTTCAAGATTTTGGATCCAGAACTCCAGAACTGTGAATGGTGTGAAATGTTTTCTCATAAAATTTCAATTTTGTTCTTGTAATATTTTAACTTGTCTCTTGTTAAATCACAACTTTATTCTTGTAATATTATGACTGTCTTCTCATTTACAACTTTATTCTTATAATACTACTACATTTTTTTCAAAATGAAGAATTCTGCCTTTAATAGGGGCCTAATACTCCGCCTTAGATTTGTTATCATTACTGCATTGATACAAAAATGAAATTGACATCCAATACAAATTGAAGATTTCTAATACAGGATGTATTAGAAATCTTGAAGACATGACTAACTGTTTAAAATCTTCACATATTTAGAATATCTTTAAATGTACACAAAGAATGAACGGAAAGTTGTGTTCTTGTTTTGTGTGTACATGGAGTGTGTGTAGAGAGTGGCATGTAGTATAGTATATGTAGTGTGAAGCTGAGGTTTCATCCTGTGAGAATGTTGTGCATTTGTGTGAGCGAGGAGGAGAGGGACCCACCATAATCCCTGTAAGCAGACACACGCCTTTCCCACAGTACGTGTGCGGTACCATGTCCCCGTAGCCAATGGAGAGGAAGGTAATCGAGATGAGCCACATGGCTCCCAGGAAGTTACTGGTCACTTCCTGTTTGTCATGATACCTGAGGTGATGATAGATAGATAAGCAGAAGTGGGGGACACACAGTCAGAGAGAGACTGCACAAGTTTCGGTGAATGCCAGCATGCTGGAGGATGACGTGGTGCTGTGTGAACCAAACAGAGGTGGTGGGTGGAGGAAGTGAAGATCGTGGAGGAAGAAGAATTCATGGCGCAGGGTGTTACACCCAATTTTAAAGCAACAAAGTCCATTCTGAGGAAGTAAACTGAAGAAAATAATACATTCAGTGGAGGCTACACTTCATGTCTATTTGCCTTTAAGTCATTTTTATATGTGAGACAGTTTAATGGAGAGATGTGTTGAATGGGTAAAAAAATTAAAATGAGGCAGGAAATAAAAAGCAAATACTGGCTGTTAAAGAGTTTGATGCAATGATTTCAAACTGAGAGATCAGAACCACGTTTCACATTCACTTGTTTACATTAGCAAAGAAATTTGAATTTTCAGAGAACGTTTCAAATGACAAAGAGACGAGCCACGTCGCTGTAAGTGACTGGATAAAGAGCTCCGCAGGTCAGACTTGATTTGAATGTGACAACCCAACAATTGTTATGTCAGTGCATCCACAAATGCACACACCGCTGCGTTAAATCCAACTAAGAATTGGCTTATTGGTCACGATTTGTTGCAGAGTTTACGCTGCCCCAACAGGGAAAAAAGGTTTGGCAATGCAAATCATCACTTCAAACATGTTGCTTGCTGAAAATAGCTTGACAGCCATGCTTGAATTGTCAGTCCAAAGGCTGGCTGTGCGTATGCAAAGCTATTTCCATAAAAAAAAAAAAACACACTGTGCAAAGCTGGATTGATGATGACATTCCCATACCTTTTGCAGCATGACAAAAAAAAATCCATCACAGAGACAAATCTGCCTCATCCACCCACCCTCATTCAACTCGCCTGATTATTCCCAATGGGCTGTCTAGGAGGAGATCAGATAAGATTTAATTTTGGAGTTAAAATCAAATATTCATTAAACACGTTGAGACAACATCTCAGAAACATCCTTCTGACAAGACAAAGAAGATGGAGTGTAATTTCTTGGGATTTTGTTGAGGCTTGTCTAAAGGGGATTCTCATTGGGCCAATCAAGAATTGTTAACAACTTTGAACTATCCAGCAGTGACCCAGCATTTGGACTTAAAATGGCTGGAGCTATCACTTCTAATTAGTGCACGTGTACAGACTGGAACACTCGGGGCCAGGCGATGAAAGTTTCTCTTTCCACCAGAAAGAAAAAAAAACTCCTTGGTGGGTGGTTTTGTGGCGATGTCTGCTCCTCCTTCTCCTCCAAGACAGGTCATTGTTATTCAATATCATAAAATCATGCCTTCTGCAGGTCTTAAAACTCCCACTCCTGAGTTCCTTTTCATGCTCAAAGTCGGGGGTAAAAAAACAACTCTGACCACTTCTCTTCCCTCAGAGTGACAAAAAGAAACGTGTGCAGTCTGTGGGATTCAAGCTTCTTAAATGACATGCAGAGAAGCAGTCTGTACAACACCATGCAGGAATCAAAAGTATCTGCAACCTGCATGCTACAACAGCCAGTATATTGAGAGCAGGGGAGCGCTGGGCAAACCTGGGGGATCCACCTCGGACAAATTCCGCAGTTAACACCAGGTGGAGGGGGATTGTACGTCTTCTCAGACGGGGCTTTCATTCTTAAACAGAGGGGTAGGACTGGATGATCAACAGAGGGAGAAGCTCATTGAATTTGACACCCCTGTCTCTTTTACCTGCATCCCAACACTTCAGCAGCTGCCCTTTGATAGCTGCCGGGGGGCTCAACTTGATCAGCTGGCTAAATATTGTAATTACAAGTGACTACTATGTTAATTTCATTCATCTTGTCATCAAGGTATCCAGAGAGTGAGTCATGTCTTGGAGGCAGGCAGAGATGTGCTGCAGCCTTCAGCACAGTTAACAAAGTGTTACAGTGGCCTTCTCTCTGTAGTAAACCTAACCCGTAAATATGCCTGACGTTGACACAGTAGGCATTGTTCGTTATCACGAGAAGGCGCTCTCTTGAATTATATTTTCATTTTTCTAATGTGGCAATAATTCTTTTAACGCACACATTTCAATAGTGAATGCACGTATTCCAATCATTTTCTACGGTGGTTTAGAGCAGAAGACAGCAATACGGGAACAGAGACAGAGGCTGAAATGGGGAGCTGATCAATAGCATTTTAAGGCTCTCAATATACTGTGTCAAGTTTTGGAATAGCATGGAGAAGAGCTGGCACCACTTTCAACCAATTCCAGGACAAGAGGTATATAGAGTCCAGAACAGACAGTTTTATCCCCCACTGTTAAATTCTCTGACACACAATCTGCAGTGAAAGCATAAACCTGGCAACCCTGGTCAAATGTTTCAGAAACTACACTATTTATCCAGTGATGTATAAAATGATAATGTCGTTTATTCCGAAATGAGCCCTGACACTTTCTGTCTGTGGTGGGTCAGAGGAGCACAGCAAACTTTACACAATGTAAGACCAGTAAGGTAACGTGTCCATGGCTAAAACTGCAACCTAACAGGTCAACAACAATAACTAGGTACGAGTTGCCTCTTTCTTCTCTTCAAATGATCGAGTTCAGCCCTGCACGTTAAGAAAAGGTAAAAGTGTTTTCTGTTTATGTGAACTAATAAACGATTCCCAGCCAGTCAATTTTTCAGCCGTGCAGCCCAATCTGAAAACACAAGCTCTGAACACACAGAATGGTAATGATGAATCCAATGTGCCACACACTTCCCTCTGTGTGCGCACACACAAAAAAAACACCAATAACATTTGAAATATTTGATAGAAAACTAATATCAAATTACAATAGCCTTTGTTCATGCAGTACTTGATAATTAATACAATGAATACAACATAACTGCCTCTAGCTTCAATGCTTTTCAATGAGGTGCCAAGTTCTTCTCAGTCATTAGTTTAAAGATGGAAGTGTCACCTTAAATACTTATTATCAGGCCTGGTGCCATGATCAAGTGACTGAGGGGGCTGTTAAAATGTTTCTAACATAGAGCATCCTTTTCAAAATTTAAGTAAAAAAAATGCTTGTATGAGAAAAAGCACCATAGCACTATTTGTTAGTGATTTAACACTTCACTGTGAAAATCAGGGGCGGGGGCTTGCAGCTCTCTCTTTAACAGAGGAAGTAAAAGACTAAGGGGCCTACGCAACCTTAGCTTGTTGTTGTGTAAAACCACTAAAAACACTCTCTGCCTCAGTTTGGATATAATGAGACACGGACTGCCTCCTAAGAAGAGAGCTGACCGAGGCACCACACAGATGTAAGTGTTTTGTGTAACCAAAATACACATCTGATAAGAAGTAGGAAAAAAAGGATGAATCAAAACTTGGGAGAGCCTCATCCTGACTTCTGTTTCTGCTCTCCATCACTGGTAGATGGTTTGAATGGTAAATGGTATGTTTATACAAGGCTTTTTTAGTCACTCAAAGCGCCTTACAGTACAGTTTTCTATTCTCCCATTCACACACACATTCATACAGTGCACCTATTAGCAGCACTCTTTTTGTATGAGGGGCAATTTGGTTCAGCATCTTTCCCAAGGACACTTGCATGCAGACGGGGAAGACTGGGGATCAAACTTCCAACTTCTTGGTTGGAGGACAACCACACTACCCCTAAGCCACAGCCACCCCTGGTCAGCTGCTCACATTAAAAATTCTGCAGCTATCGCCTGCATGGAGTAACAGCACTTCCCCTCTTCACCCTGCATTTCAATATCACGGTAACAAATTTAAAAGATTTTACATGAGTGCAGGTCTTGTTGATATAAATGAATTTGAGCGCAGGCTGAGACAACTTGGGGACAAATATGTTGGGATGCTCCTCGGGGAGTGTGTTGGTTGCAGTAAACAACCAACAGATTCAACAGTGATGATGACCTAATTAAAAAAGTGCAAACCCCACAGTGTTTTTTACAGCGCAGCCAATATGCAAAGCAAGCAAGCACGCAGCAGCACATTCAAAGTGGACTTTGCATGTATAAAATCAATGGGCGAGTTTACAATATGTGCATTTTGTAATGTGTTTCCAAGAAATAAAAAGAATATACAACTTGGTCACACTGTGCTAAATCAATAGGCGTTATTTTATTTGCAGAACATTTTCCACAAATGTGTTGGAATTAAGCCAGAAGTACTATCTAAAAGTTACATTTGAATTTGAATGTAGTGTGAAAGTTGTTATTAGTCACACTGGCAGCATGGTTTGGGAACAGCGCTGTCAGTTACACTGTTAAATTAAATGCCATGAAATTTGACACTCACCTGCACATCTTCAAATTTTCTATTTTAAGTTAAATGTCCAAACTACTGGAAGGCTAGCAATACAATTTAGAACACAAATGAATGTTCCCCTCAGGATGAATTACTATATTGCCTACACTTCTCATCTAGCGCCATCATAAGGTCAAAATTCCCAGTGATTTCCTGCTACTTTCTGTGATTTTAATTTATGTCTAAACACCTGCAAAACTTTTGACATAACCAATGCTTACTCTAAAGGCTAATTATTGCTCAACATTTGATACGTATGGAAATTGATTCCTTCCGTCCAAATATGCGTTTATTTTGTCCGATACAAATAAAACAGAGCAATACCACCAAAAATCATGTGGGGGCAGTGTAGCTAATAGTTCAAGAGAGACATCGTAAGACATGATGAAGAAATTTCAACAATGGCGCACCATTTTTGCCAAGTCACAGAGACATCAGCTGCTTTGCCTCTTTCTTATGAGGTACGTTATCACAACGTCCTCCACCATCGGCATGTTTGTTCTCATCAATAACTAAACTCTGTGTTGCCCTCTAGTGGATATGGCTTAACAACCATGCAAACATAAAGGTTAAATGGAAGTATGTGTACATCGTTTGAAATGGATGCATCTCATTTCATACGTGAAGGCAGTATGAGTGAGCATTAACCCTGATAAGCATGCGAACACGC